ATATTCTAACTGCATGACTTTCTTCCAACCTTGATGCAAACCCGTAGTATTAGACAAGCAAATGCTGATGTTAGGGTTTCACCACATGGGTTGCATTGTCACAGTTTGTATACTGGTACTTGTAGGTTGTTAGGTTGCAATTGCTTGCTTAAAGTCAAGCAGTGATATGGAGCGAACCTGCATCAATTCCCATATTCTAACTGCATGACTTTCTTCCAACCTTGATGAAAACACGTAGTATTGGACAAGCAAATGTTGATGTTTGGGTTTCACCACATGTGTTGCATTGTCACAGTTTGTATACTGGTACTTGTAGGTTGTTAGGTTGCAATTGCCTGCTTGAAGTATGGCAGTGAGATGGAGCGAACCTGCATCAATTCCCATATTCTAACTGCATGACTTTCTTCCAACCTTGATGCAAACCCGTAGTATTGGACAAGCAAATGTTGATGTTTGGGTTTCACCACATGGGTTGCATTGTCACAGTTTGTATACTGTCAGGTTGTTTGGTTGCAAATGCCTGCTTAAGGCAGTGAGATGGAGCGAACCTGCATCAATTCCCATATTCTAACTGCATGACTTTCTTCCAACCTTGATGCAAACCCGTAGTATTGGACAAGCAATGTTGATATTTGGGTTGCTCCACATGGGTTGCGTTGGCACAGTTTCGCACAACTTGTATACTGGCAGGTTGTTTGGTTGAAATTGCCTGCTTAGAAACAAAGTTGTGAGATGGTGCGAACCTGAATTCATTCCCATATTCTAACTGCATGTTTTTCTCCCAACCTTCGTGCAAACCAGTGGTATTGAACAAATACGTGCTGATGTTTGGGTTGCACCACATGGGTTGCATAGTCTCAGTTTGTATACTGTCAGGTTGTTTGGTTGCAATTGCCTGCTTGAAGTATAGCAGTGAGATGGAGCGAACCTGCATCAATTCCCATATTCTAACTGCATGACTTTCTTCCAACCTTGATGCAAACCCGTAGTATTGGATAAGCAATGTTGATATCTGGGTTGCTCCACATGGGTTGCGTTGGCACAGTTTCGCACAACTTGTATACTGGCAGGTTGTTTGGTTGAAATTGCCTGCTTAGAAACAAAGTTGTGAGATGGTGCGAACCTGCATTCATTCCCATATTCTAATTGCACGTTTTTCTCCCAACCTTCGTGCAAACCAGTGGTATTGAACAAATACGTGCTGATGTTTGGGTTGCACCACATGGGTTTCATTGTCTCAGTTTGTATGCTGTCAGGTTGTTTGGTTGCAATTGCCTGCTTGAAGTATGGCATTGCAAGCTTAAAGTATAGCAGTGAGATGGAGCGAACCTGCATCAATTCCCATATTCTAACTGCATGACTTTCTTCCAACCTTGATGCAAACCCGTAGTATTGGACAAGCAATGTTGATATTTGGGTTGCTCCACATGGGTTGTGTTGGCACAGTTTCGCACAACTTGTATACTGGCAGGTTGTTTGGTTGTAACTGCCTGCTTAAAAATAAAGCTGTGCGATGGTGCGCACCTGCATTCATTCCCATATTCTAACTGCATGAATTTCTTCCAACCTTCGTGCAAACCAATGCTATTAAACAAATACGTGTTGATGTTTGGGTTACACCACATGGGTTGCAGTGTCACAGTTTGAATAGCGGTAGGTTGTTTCGTTGTATCTGCCTGCTTGAAGTATAGCAGTGAAATGGTATGAACCTCCATTATTACCCGCATTCCACCTGCATGATTGTCTTCCAACCTTTTGCACACTAATGGTATTGGACAAACTAGTGTGTATGTTTGGGTTGGACCACATGGGTTGCATTGTCGCAATTTGATACAATTTGCATACTGGCAGGTTGTTTGGTTGTAACT